GCGCGGGGGGAAGGGAGAACCTTGAACTCGCAACGGTTGGTAAGCCAAAGGTTATGGTTGTCCAGGGGATTAGCTACTAATTGCTAATCCCCTGGGCGACCTTAGCAGGGGATTAGCCCTCCCTTTGACTAAAACATTTGTACCAGGAGCTAATCCTAAGGTCTAATCCCCTGGCGCCCATAAGCCCCCTAGTGACTGAACTGAGGCAGTTTGACACTGGGCCGGGGGGGGCCGGCGGCCCCGGGCCCGGGCTGCTCAGTCCCCCGCCGCCGGACTCGGGAGCCTGAGCGCGGCGGCGGCGGGCCGGCTCCCGTCGGACCGCCGCCGGGTCGAATCGTGACCGTGATCACGCGCGGCCGGACCATCGTCCGGCGAGTCGGACGGTCGGCGGTCCGCTGGCAGGGTCACCGCCGTCGCTCCGGGAGTCCGACAGCGCCGGATGGGCCCGGCCCCGGCACGGCGTCGGCCGGTCGGACGTCAGTGTAACTTGTCTTCTCGGGTGCGCGTGCGACTTTGGGGTGGTAGAAAAGGGGTGGGGGTGATGTAGAAGGGGTAGTGAATGGTAAAGTACCCCTGGCACATTAAATGTTTTAGAAAGATGGGGTCTAATCAAGGTAAATTGGAGGGGTTATCTGAACTTCAATAGGGTTACAGTACCAAGGGGTAGGGTGCAGGCAAAAAAGGGCAATGTTTAGTTTCTCGTGGGCATGTTCCATGGATGGCGGGAGAAGGAGCAGTGGACGAGGAGGGAGAGGGGGGAGAGGAGGGAGAGGAGGAGAGCTGTAGTGAAGTGAGCAGAATGAGGATGAGATGAAGAAGACGGTCAGGGAGGCAGAGAGGTAGGAGATGGTCCAGTGAATAGGATATGATGGCCTGTAGTGGACTGGTTGCGGACTGGTTGAGATGGTGGGTTGGGAATAACACAGGGAAGAATGGTCGATTTTACAGGAGAAGACGTAGGGAAAAGGGTAAGATGAATCAGGGGAGTGGTTACGGTAGGAAGATCAGCGGCGGCGGCGGCGGCAGCAACAGCAGCAGCACATATAAGAATCGATGTGACAATGTCCTGTTGTTTGCAGTGTGGTTCGAGGGAATGACCCGTGAAGGGGTTGCCGTGTTTATGATCGAGTGATGTACAGCAAGAGTGCGTGTGAAGTTATGGTCTAGAAGTCAGGATGACCTTTGAAGGTAACAGCGTGATGGACATGCGAGCTTCTCAACTCGAGGCAGAAGTAGATGAGGGGGGAGTGGAAGAGAGGGCAACATAGAAGTCACTTGGACGTTTCTGCTAGTGCAACCTGTGTGGATATATTTGCTATGGTTTCCGGTGGAGTTTCTTCATACGAATGCGCCTCTATTGATCACTGTGATCTGACGAATTGCCTTCAGCCCTCGGCGCGATCGCAAACAGGAAAGGGCGACAGCAGGCTGTGAGACAAGAACTTCTTCACCATGTCGGCTTCAGCGCAAAGAATCGCAGCCATCGAGGAGGAGCTGGCGAGGACTCAGAAGAACAAGGCGACCATGTCGCACATCTGTATGCTCAAGGCGCAGCTCGCGCAGCTCAGGAGGCAGGAGATCGAGAGCCAGATGAAAGCGGCAGGAGGAGGAGGAGACGGGTGGGACGTGAAGGCAACAGGAGACGCGCGAGTGGGTCTGATCGGCTTCCCCTCTGTCGGCAAGTCGACGCTGCTGACGAAGATGACGGGGACGCACTCGGAGTCTGCTGCCTACGAGTTCACGACCCTGACCTGTATCCCTGGCATCATCAGGTACAAGGGAGCTAAGATCCAGCTGCTGGATCTCCCGGGTATCATCGAGGGGGCCAAGGACGGCAAGGGAAGGGGCAAGCGAGTGATCGGCACGGCGAGAACGTGCTCTCTGATCCTTATGGTCCTGGATGCCAGCAAGCCCGTGACCCACAAGAAGCTGATCGAGAAGGAGCTGCACGGCTTCGGTATCCGACTGAACCAGTCGAAGCCCAACGTCTACTTCAAGAGGCATGACAAGGGAGGCATCCAGCTCCACGTCCAGCTCCCCCACGCCCCCACCTACATCACCCCGCAGATCCTCAAGTCTGTCCTGCAGGAGTACAAGATCCACCACGCGGAGGTCGCTGTCTCCTCCTCCTCCTCCTCCTCCTCCTCTCCCTGATGCTGCTGCTCCCTCAGTTGCTGTCTCTCCCACCCTCCTTGCCAGCTCTCTCCTTCCATCGTGGCCTCTACTGGCTGGACTGACATATCTCTCCTTGCTCTCAGATCACCTTGCGTGAGGACTGTACTGTAGACGAGCTGATTGACATCATCGAGAGTACCGACAAGATCGGGATGATGCGAGTTTACATGTACGCTGCTCCACTCGTTAATTCCCCTCCTCGCCTCCTCCCCTTCCTCTCCTTCTCTCCTTGCTTTCGTTTCCTCCTCCATCTCTTTCCTCGATAGTCACTTCCAGTATTCATTGCAATCATACCTCGTACCTCCTCCTAATCCTTCCATCCTCCCTCCCT